AACTTGGCCAGAGTCAAGCCCGGTAGAGAGATCACGTTTTCTAGGAGGGGGGATAGTTCTCTCCTCGACATGCCCCTCGCTGGTGGTATATGCTACTGAGTCCATGGAACCGAAGGAAGCCAAATCCTTGAGCCCATTCTTAGGAACCCTGTGCAATGGCCAAGCGAGTTAATGGGCCCAGGAGCAGCTCCGTCATTTGTCAGAGGTTCCCTCTAACAAAGCCCTACTACCGTTGACTAAGCAAGCACCCACTGTGTGCCAGGCTCCAGGCACAGTGCTTTCCGGATGCCGTTGAGCTTGACCCCTACAACGCACCTCGATGTCTCAGATGAGCAAACGGGCTCAGAGTGAAGGAGCCACTCAGCCCAGGCCCCACGGTAGAGAGGTGTGTCTGACAGCAAAGTGCCTTCCATCCCACTTCAAGGGGCCTCCAGAAAGATGCCAGGTAGGCAGGCTCATCCTGCCAAACCACAGTCCAGCGGGCGCTCCCGCCTTTCTGGGTATCCACCTGCGGGGCTCACTTGGCTAAGGCTGGAACGGGAGCAGTGGCGTTTGGCCCTGAGGAATTTATCCACCAGCCAAGGCCTTCCATTCGTTCATTCATTCACTCAGCAGATTATCGAGCAGCACCTGTGTCAGGCATGGTAGGGGGCACGGGGATCCACGACAACCATTGTCACTGAAGCCATGTGCTAAGATCTCCCTGTTGCCACCTTAAAACCCACCACTGAGTTGAATTCCTTTGGATTTAGGCACAGAATCACCAGGAACCACCCCACCACCACCACCCCATACCTCAAAATGTCAGAGGTGTGGGAAGTGTGGCCCATTGAATGTGCATTTTTAGAGTCTTGCTTTTGCAAGGTAGAGAGAAACAGCCCATTGCTCTGAAAGGGAGGAGGGGGAAGCCCATGTCGTGCAGGGATAGCGAATGGTCTCACCTGGCCCCCAGTGCTCTCCGATGGAGAGAAGCCGACTAGAGCACTGGGTTGCAAAGGGACCTGCGGCCAAGTGCAGTTAGCAGGAACCGAAGGGGTAAAGAATTGACGTTGCAGTGGGGAGCAGCATGGGTGCCCTGTGTCTGTGCATCCCTGGGGGTGCTGCCTGGGCATCAGGCGTGGGTGGAGCCCCTAGCAGAGGCTCCTGCAGAGAGGGAGCCGACGCAGGAGAATGTAGGAGCAGAGAAGGGAACAAAAAGGGGAAGGTGGGCATCGGGCTCCAGTTCACCTCCCCAGCAGGTCTAGCTCTGCTTGCTCTGTAGGTGTTATTCTCAAGGGCTCCTCGAGCCGAGCTCTATGGCCACTTTACGGAACCATGGGTCTTGCTCTCACAGCCGTAACTTCGTGGAGAAGGAGGGTGTCCTGAATGCCAAAAGACCTGAGAGCCCCAGGGCCACCCCCAAACCACCCAGACCCACCCATCTCTCACCAGAAGCCACTTTTAGACTCCTCACAAGAAGGAAGGGCGCCAGTGTTTCCAAGCACACCCCATTCTCCAACTCTGCAGACCAGCCGCACAAACCTGCAAGGCACAGTTGCCGAGCCCAGCCCAACTTCTGGCCTGCACACACCTGCAAATCCACCAGGGCTGGCAGCTCTCTCAGGCAAGGTCCTTTTCCTTCCCTGGTCCCCAGGGGAGAGGGCGGCTGGTAACCAGATGGCCCCACTTGGGATGGGGGTACAACCCCAAGCAAAGGATTTGGTGAATTCCCCAAGTATGGCTCTACCTGTGGCCAGCAACAGCCCTTGACCAGGCCCTGGGCACCAAGAACTTGACTTCTCCACTCCCCCAAATCCCTCCACTGCCTGCCCCGCCTGTCTGCCTCTTTTTCCAGCCTCCCTTCCCATCGACCCTCCCTGCCCGCAGTCTCCAGCCTTGCTCCGTCTTGTTTCAAGGAAAATTCCTACAGGAGCCAGGGAGATGGTCAGACACTGAGGCCCAGCCTGGCCCATAGCCATCTTGACAGCCATCCTGGACAGGGCGGGACGCCCCAGGAGGACTGTGCCAGTCCGGTCCACAGCTGGAGAAGCGGCTGACTCCAGGGGCCTGCAGGGGTGGGCATTAGGGGACCTCCGTGCCTCTGCCCACACCCATCCCACTTTGAGCCCGGTCCTGGAAAGAAGCGTGGGCAAGGATGAGTGGCTGAAAAGGATGCCGGGAGCTCTTGTCTCTTGCTCACGGGACCTCTCCGTGGCAACTTTGACGAAAAGCCAGAGACAAAGGTGCCCCCCCCCACCAGGGCTCAAGAGCTCCTGCTCCTGCCCACACCCCTGAGTCCCTCCCCAGGAGGCAGGAGGATGAGGGTCAGAGGACACCGGCTGCCACAGCAGAAGCCCAGCACAGGGCTTGCAGAGCAGGAAGAGAACCGGCGGGCCTGCTTCCGCATGTCCGTGCTGGAGAGCAGGACTGACCCTGCCAGGCTGAGGACCCAGGCACAGATCCCCTGGCAGGGCCCTGACAATCCCGAATCCTAGGCTCGCTGGGCTGCCCCAAGAGAGAGGGTGGAAGCGCCTTGTGCAGGCTTTGATGATTCTTTTCCAAATTGTTCTCCGAGTGGGCAGACCGAGTGCGGAGTCAGGGATATACCCACAGTCATGTCCAGGGGACTGCCTTGTCTCACTTGACTTTAAGAAAGAGAAGGCAGATTTCAGCAGGTAAAAACAGGAAAAAAAATTAATAACCCTAGGCCCACGCAGTAGTTACACCACCAAGATGAAGCGCCTGGGGGAGGGGTGGGGAGCATCACCTCCACCTAAATATCTACGGGCTCTCAGGGCAGGGAGGCGAGGCTGCTTCTGAAACACCCATTTTCCTCTCCAGTGGCTCAGCAGAGTTGCCTTAGGCACGAGGACCTTTCTATTCTTCCTTTCCTTTGTGAACTGTCACCCCCACCCTAGGGCCCTTGGAGTCCCAGCCCCCCCCCAAAGTTCCAGAACAGGGTCCCCCACACGGGGCCAGCCCGGGCAGACAAAGCCCCAGTGGCAAGCTTATGTCCGGTGAGGACGCCCAGCAGCGCAACTGTATCTACAAAATTCTTTTCATCTTTGTTTTGATGGGTGAAGTTCAGTGCCAGAATATTTGGTTTATGAGTCATGCTAATTACAGCTTGGGGGGAGGAGGACCAGAGGCACCAGGAAGAACAACAGAAAGAAGCATGTTCTGAAAAAATTATGCTGAGCTGGGTTTGCCCTGTGAAGAGGGAGCTGGCTGTGCACCTTTCTGGGACCACATCAGCTTCTCAGCACCCACCTGTGAGTGTGACCCTTGCTGGCTGGCTGCACCTGTCCCGGACAGGCAGCGATATCCTCAGGCCGGGGGAAGCCCCACCCAAGACCTCCTGCACCCGCATTTCTCTGTCTCCCTGACCTCTTGCCCACTGGGAGCACTTCCCTTGGCATTACAAGAGGCTCAAGGGAGGAGGGAGAGACTGGGAGGAGAGGGTGGGGTCCCTGGGAAACAGAACCTGGCTATACTTCCTGCCCCTGGGCACTTTCTCCATGGACAGCTGGGAGGCGGACATTTGCAAACTTAAGCAGCTCAGGTCCCAGCCTCGGCTTGGAAAGCTGTGCACCTTTGAGCAAGTTACACCCCTTCTCTGGGCACAGAGATGCAGGTCCTCCAAGCGTCCTCCATCTACTGCGTGTGGGCAAGTCGTGAGCCTCTCTGAGCTCTTCAGCGGTGAGAGTGCCATTGATAGACTCGACGAGAATTGAATCCACATCTGCTCAGCGCCTGCCATGCGGGACACGCATGGCTGCCATTTACCCTAAGCTCCTCTCGGCTCTCAGGTCAAGAGGGAGAGTGGGGAAGGGAGACGGGACGAGATAACCCAAGCCTCAGCCCCATTTCCCCTTCCCGTGTGTTTCTTCCCTCCTCTAGTTAGTGGGGCATTGGGGCAGGCCTCTCCCAGCAGCAAATGCAGCAGTCAAGTGCATGTGTCTGCAACCTTGCTTGTGGGGCTGACTGCGTGCTTTCCTGCACTATAAAAAGCAAAGGCCTAGCAGCCTTGGAGGACCTCACATCCTCCCCCCGGGGACCCAGGATGTAGCTAGTGGTTGAGAAAACTCAGTTTCTCAGGACACGCCTCATTTTCAAAGCTTGGAAAGAAGCAGCTCCAGTGTGCCGAACTGCCTCCATACTCCTGGAAACTCGGTGGGATGGAAGAGACAGACGAGTCGCGGAGGGAGGCCGCTTCCTCCCTCCCTTCCAAGTGGACCGGGAGGGCCCGTGCGTGCCCACAGAGGACACGGGGCTGCCCAGGAGTCAGCACGCTAGCAACCAGGCTAACACGATGTGGGTGCCCAGGGCAGATCGGGATCACACCTGTCCCCGTGGAAAGCCTAGAAAAACATGGTTGTACGTGGGGTCTCGACACAGAGAGGCTTTGGAGGTCTAGAGGCTTAACGGCAGCTGGGTGACTCGGCCCTAAGCCAGGGAAGGTTCTGAGTGGTGCAGGCAGCTCAGGAGGGTCCCCCAGGAGAAAGGGACATGACTTTCCCCTGTCCACACTGAATCCCCTCCAGGAGCACCAAGGCCATTAGGTGCGGGAGCCAATGTCAGCATTTCCTGTTCTGTGTGGGGTCCAAATCGGCCACCGGCAGGGCTGGGCAAATCTGTCTCTCAGGCGATCTAGGCAGTATCGGGGTGGGGGCCCCCCGCTTGGTACAGAGGGGACTTGGGTACCATTCCTTTTTCTCTCACGCCTAGAGAAGTGTGAAGCAAGATAAACAGCCCGCAAAGAAGAGGCAGGCACAATCATTCCTGACAGCATCCGGCTGCCACAGAGCCCCTGCTCCCTCGTCCCAGCGGGAGACGGAGCCCCCGCTCTCCACTGCACCTCCGGGCGCCGGACCAGCCCCGCGACTCCCGGTCCTTCTGCCCCTTGCCACTGCTGCCACCCCGGCCCCTCCTACTCCGCTCTGGCAATCACGGCACTGAAGCCTTGGAGCAGGAGTGGAGCAGCCCTGCGTCCTCTCCCGCCCGCCAGGGCCCCTACCTACCTCCAGCCGGCATCCTGCGGTGGCCTCTCGGGGCTTAGAGCATCTCCCAGCAGCGGGGCCTCCTCCCAGCCAGGTCGGGGGTGGGAGGGGAGAACAGACTTGTCAGAGGAGAGAGCCAGGAGGACGGAAAAAGTCCTCTGGGAAGAAGGTGCAGAAAGGGCGGCGGGTGCAGGCAACAGCGGGTCCCTGCCTTCCCGGCACCTTGACCTCCTCCGTTCTGAGGTCTCTCCGGCCAGAAGCGGAAGCGCGGTTTCTCGAAAGTCAAGGAAGAGACGAAGAAAGCGGGACAGACTCGTAAAGAGTAAACCCCAGCCAGATGTGAGCGGGGCCGCGGAGCCTCCAACGCTCCCAGCGCATATTATCCAAACAGCGGCCGCGGAGGATTAACTGTGTGTGTGCCCGCGGGCAGGGGAGAGCCAGCACTGCCCTCATCCCAGCCAGCCCGGGGAGCTGGCCCAGGCTGGGGGGTGCAGGTGACCACTCCCAGCCTCTGGAGGTCCCTCCAGGTATGGGGGCGGCTGGGGTCCCAGGACAGAGAAGGTGGGGGACCCCGAGTTGCTGGGTGGTGGGAGATCGGTTCTAAGGAGTCCAGGGGGTACTTGTTGCCAACCCTGTGGGATCAAGTCCCCAAACGGTGGCAGACCTGAGACACGCTTTCAGCCGGAGGCTCCCCGCTGGGGTCCAGGGACCACAGACAGGTTTTGGAGAACATGTGACCCCCCCCAAAAAAAACAAAGCAAAGCTGTGTGTGCCTGCACGTGTTCATTGTGGAACAGGGAGGGTCTTTTGCTTGATCAGATTCTTAGAGAGCTCTGTGATTCAAAGTTTAGGAACCCCTGGCTGGGGGTGCAGATTTTCCAGAGAACAGTGTGGTCCGGGTAGGGCCAGGAGGGACGTCAGCTTTGCTCGGTCTCTATCAGCCTCTGGTTCCTTGATAGGAAACCCAGGCCTTTCCCTCATCTCAGATGCAAGCTCTAACTGGGCTCCTCCAGCCCCACCTCGCACCCTGATAGCGCTCTAGGCTTCTGCGGAGCTGCCCCGGTCAGGCTGGTCTCCATCTCCAGACTGAGTCAGGCGGATAGTTCTGGCATCTTTTTTCTCTCTCTTTTTTTTTTTTTAAGATTTTATTTATTTATTTGACACAGAGAGAGACAGCGAGAGAGGGAACACAAGCAGGGGGAGTGGGAGAGGGAGAAGCTGGCTTCCCCCTGAGCAGGGAGTCCGATGCGGGACTCGATCCCAGGACCCTCGGATCACGACCTGAGCCAAAGGCAGACGCTTAAAGACTGAGCTACCCAGGCGCCCCTATAGTTCTGGCTTCTTATATGGCAAGAAGAGGAAGGACCTAGCCAGAGTAATGACATTCTGCTGTGGTGACAACAGCTTTCTTGTTGCTTCTTTCTGGACCGTGTTCCCACGTTCTCCCTGATCAGCTTGGATGTCACACCTGCAGCTTGTTGTTTGTCATCATCGCTCCTCCCAAGGGCCTCTGTCTCTGGCTACCTGTGGACGGGAGATGCAGAAACAGGGGTGCTGGTTTGGGATGTTCCGGGCAAAGCGCAGAGACGGCACCCTACTCTCTCTTGCCTTGGAAATTCCTTCCTGCTGCTGCTCACCACGTGCCTGCCTGAAGGGCTGAGAAATCAAGAGGAAAGGGGGGCGTGCAAGCCTCACGCCCAGCAGGCACACCTTCGTGCCAGCCGAGCATAGAACGTGGAGATGGAAGAAGAGCACCGGTTCCAGGCGGCGAAGCCGGGAGGACCCAGCGGCCACACCACAGAGACCCGGGCAGCCCACCGGCTCCTGTGGGAATGAAGGGAGGGATGCCCTGATCCTCAAGTGGCCCTGGAGAACTTCAAGGACGCTACGGCAGGATCGTGTCTCCGTGGGAGATGGGGTTTCGGCTGGCGTTACAACAGTCGGGAATCGTTCATGGTCTCTGGCATGTGCCTGAGGCTTGGCAAAACTCACATCCCTGCTTGCTTATCGACACAGGAAACCCAGAGATAAGCTCGTCTTCGTTCCTGCACGCTTTCCTGGCCAACAAGACCCAGGCCTAGCACACTGGCTGACCTTCCCCTAGTGGCTCTGTCCTCAGCTGGCCTTCGCTGCAGGGATGCACGGGGGAGACACACAAGAAAAGCAGGAGAGACAAGTAGGCCACCTCTCTGTGCAGCCCCTGCCAGGCCTTCATCTGGGACCTTAGACAAGCTGGGTCTCTCAGAACTCCTCTGAACCAGGAAACATCCTGAATGCAATGGGAAAGCTCCCCGTTGCCCTACCCCGGAGGCCCAGACCTTGGGAGTCCTGGTTCCACCCCAGGATTCCACACACACGAAGCTGGGCATGTGGCTTGGAAGAGAAACAGAGGCAGATCTGTCCCTTCTTTATTCCATCCGAGATGGCTTTAGTGTTGAAGAACTGAAAGACAGTTCTCTTTTTTTTTTTTTTGAAGATTTTTTATTTATTTATTTGACAGAGAGCGCACAAGCAGGAGGAGAGGCAGAGGGAGAGGGAGAAGCAGGCTCCCCGCTGAGCAGGGAGCCCGATGCGGGGCTCGATCCCAGGACCCTGGTACCATGACCTGAGCCGAAGGCAGATGCTTAGCCGACTGAGCCACCCAGGTGTCCCTGAAAGACTACCTTAAAGATAATTCCAAGACGGGAATCCAGAGGCCCAATAGAGAGCAGAACTCTAGAAATACAGCCAGATAATGACCCTGTCTTCCAGCGGCAGCTGCTCGTTCTAGCCGGAGGCCTTAAGTCCTGAGCCTGGGATGCTCCCCAACCTCCGAGGGCCTTAGTTTCCTTGTCTATAAAGCAGAGATAGGTCCAAGGTCTCTAATCCATAGTCAGATGTGTTCACAGTAAGATGCAGACGTCTTTCAGCGCATCTCACCCCGCCGGGCTCTGGGGCAGGGCCCCCCCCACCCGACGCTTGCATACCCTCACAACACTGCGGGTCACACTCTTCTGCTAAAGTCCTTCACGCCAAACTCGGCAGGGGAACCACGTTTTCAGAGCTTTTCGTATTTTGGGGACTTGGGGTAAAGGATTGTGACTCTGTAATTGTCACACGACTGATGAAAGGCCTGACAGAGCAGATACAAAGCACAAGAATGTTCGTGATAACTGTCATTATGGTAAGTATAATCTTCCTCCTTCCCTCCTCTTGGGTCGAGCCCCCACATCTCCCAGGAGGTTCGGAAGGGGATTACTCATATCTCTTGAGGCAGGAACCAGGAGGGTGAGGGGCACTGATATGAAATGTGGCAACAAGGATCTGGAGTTTCCCAAGATAGTCGCATCAGACAGAAGGCTCAGGGGCGTGGAAACTTCCAGAAAAAAAGAAACTACAGTCAGAGCACATCTCAGGCATCACAACCCACAGCTCAAGCCAACAGGCAAATGGGCAAAGATTCACCAGGCCAGTTCAACCCTCAGTGAAAGAAACAAAATCTGTCACCCAAACACAGAGCTGGCCAGGTCCCTAAATGCTCTGTCACCCACTTCATCACCGCCTTAAAACTGTAAGTAGGAAAGCGACACTGGGCAAGCCAGGGATGGTCTTGCAGACTACCCGATTGTTGGTTCTCTCTTAGGGCCATAGTGCCCTCAGGCAACCAGGGAGGAATGCTCCCAATTCAGCAAATATCTTCCCGTTGGAAAGTCCTGGCCAGAATTAAGGACAAGAGTCATGGCAAAAAAAAAAAAAAAAAAAAAATTAACAAATCAGAACCCAAAGCCAGCAGCAGTGCCTGAGGGCGATTTCATCAGCCCGGTGATGGGTCAGAGGCCGGGGCCAACCAGAATGATGAGCCCCTCCCCCTCCCCCAGGTCTCTCTCTTCAGTTCCCAAGTGAGTTAGAGGTCATACCCATCTTGGAATTCCCTAGGATCCCACACCTCCCACACAAGGACGTCTGGGCCAAACACTTAACGGCTTCCTGAACCTTCCCAAGTGGCCCTACATCCTCAGACAAGGGCAGCTCATGGGATGTAAAGCTCAGAGACTCACGGGGGGCAGAGAACATTCCCAGGAGGCAGCCTATTCCATGTCCTTCCCTGTTTGGCAATCCCTCCTCTCTCCCTGGGCATATCACTGCTGCTCACTCCATCTGTTTTCTCATCCCTGGAAAAAAACTATGTGACCTCGGTTAACGTCTGTAAGACGCTGGGTTCCAGATAAGCACAGCCTGTCATTAGCAGCACTGTGATTTTTTTTTTCCCACTGTGGCCCCAACATTCTGCCTGTCCCAGCTATTTTGGGCCGGGCTGCCCAGCCATCCCACGAGGGCATAGAGCGGCACCAAACCTTCTGCATTCTGTTCGGAAAGGGGGCCACAGGCAGGCTCAGACGGTGGCGTCCCACTGCCAAAGGGTGGGGGTGAGGGAGTCTCCGTGGAGATTTGGAAGAGATGGAAACTTGGCGGCCAGACTCAGCCGCCCTGGCTGCTGGCCCACACTCCTTGCTCCTGGATGGCAGTGCCTGCCTTCTGGAAGGCTGGGGGCAGGTGGGGATCAAGACTGGCAGCTGCAAGGACAGAACAGGCTCATCTGCTGCTTCACCGGCCCTCATGCTTGTAGAAGACTTCTGTCTAAGGAGGACAAGCCTTTCTCTGGAAGCCCCCCAAGCCCCCCACGGACTGGACGCAAAGACGAACCGTCAGGGACAAGAAAGCACCATTTGCAGTCTGCCTTTTGCCATCTATGTGCTTTCTGACTCCAAACAGGCATTCACTGTCCCATGCCTCAGTTTCTCCATCTCTCGGTGTTTTACATCCCTGTGGTGGGAGTTCCTGTTTTGGCACTTTGAGAGATAACACGTAGCCGGCACCATCAGGCAGCATTTTACTTGAAAAATAAAATGGGAGGGCCCCCTGGTGGACTGCTCCATTCTAAGCCTGAACTATGAAATGAGCGAGCGAGGACATAGGTAAACACACGATGGATGATTAAAATGAAGGTTTTTTAGTCTTTTGCGGAGAGCCACAGAAACAAAAGTGGGAGAAAAGTTCTCGACGAAGGCCAAGGTGACGTCTCCAAGGATGCAAAGGAAGCAAGGAGAATTTAAATCACAGCAACACCTAGGTGCACAGGAAGAGCACTTTCTGGGCAGGGCCTCTCCGGAAGGCAGGAAGGCGAGTGTCTTATTCACTAGGGCATGAGAACACCATTTGACCTAGTAATCTTCCTTCCAGCAATTTATCCTACAAATATACTCACAGTTGTGCTCCAACACGTGAGTTCAAGGATTTGCCCTGAAGCATTGTTGTAATGTAAGAAGATCACACATATCCTTAGGGGCCTGGTAAAAGAAATAACAGGACATCCACACAGTGGACTACTACG